AGACACATCATAATTAAAATGTCAAATTTTAGAACAAAGAAAGAATCTTAAAAACACCAAGAGCAAAACAAGAAAGAACATATAAGGGAGCTCCCATAAGGCTGGCAGCTGACTTAACAACAGAAACACTATAAACCAGAAGGGATTGGCAAGGTATTTTCCAAGTAATAAAAAGCAAAGGCCTACAACCAAGACTACTCTACCCAGTGAGGCTCTCAGTGAAAATGGAAGACCAAATAAGGAGGTTAGCTGACAAGAGAAGGCAGAAAGAATATACCTCCACCAAACCAGCACTGCAAGATATGCTAAAGAGACTGCTATAAGAGGAAGAACAAGAGTGAGAGAAACACAGATCCAAAGGGGAAAAATGAATAAGTACCTATTAATAATAATCTTAAATGTTAATGGATTAAATGCTCCAATCAAAAGTCATAGGGTAGCTGAATGGAAAAGAAAACATGACTCGCACACATGCTGCCCACAGGAGACCCACCTCAGAAAAAAAGACTTACACAGACTGACAGTGAAGGGTTGGGAAAAAATATTCCAAGCAAATGGACAGGAAATAAAAGCTGGGATAGCAATATTTATATCAGACAAAATAGACTTCAAAACAAGGGCCATACAAAAAGACACTGAAGGACACTTCATAATACTCAAGGGAAGAATCCATCAAGAAGACATAAACATGGTCAACATTATTGCACCCAACATAGGAGCACCTATCAGAGCATCCTAATCCCTATAAGGAAAATCTTGGAGGAATTCAAGAAAGATATAGACAGCAAAACACATATACTGGGAATTTGAACACCTCACTGTCAAAAATGGATAGATCTTCCGCACAAAATATCAACAAAGATATTGCAGTGTTGTACAATGCCCTAGATCAAATGTATGTAACTGGTATATAGAAGAAGCAAAATACACATTCTTGTAAAATGCACATGGAACATTTTCAAAGATAGACTACAGGATAGAACACAAAACAAGCCTCAAAAAGGTCAGGAAAACTGAAATCTTATAAAAGCATTTTCTCAGACCACCAGGGCCTGAAACAAGAAACCAACCTCAAGGAAAAAACTCAAATACACTCAAATTCATGGAGATTGTCAAACATACTACTAAACAATAAATGAGTTAATAATGATATCAAAGAAGAAATAAAAAAAGCTTCTGAAAACAAATGAAAATGAACACACAACAATCCAAAATTTATGGGACACAGCAAAGGCAGTCTTGAGACAGAAATTCATAGAGAGATACAGGCCTACCTAAAAAAGATAGAAACATTTCAAATAAAGGATCTAATCCTAAATGTACAAGAACTAGAGGAACAACAACAAACTAAACCTAGAGTGAGTAGAAGAAAGGAAATAACCAAGAGCAGAGCAGAACTAAATAGCATAGAGATAAAAGAACAATCCAAAAAATCAATAAATCCAGGAGCTGGTACAGTAAAAAGATAAACAAAATTGACAAGATGTTAAGCACAGTCATTAAGAAAAAAGGATAGGATCCAAATAAATGAAATAAAAAATGCAAGAGGAGAAATTACAAAAGATACCTCAGAAATACAAAGGATTGTAAGAAATTACTACAAACTATATGGCAAGAAGTTTGAAAACCTGAGTGAAATAAAAAAATTTCTAGAAAAATATAATTACTCAAAACTGAATGAAGAAGAAGTAGAAACCTGAAAAGACCAATAATAGCTAGTGAAATTGAAGTAGTAATCAAAAACCTACCGGCAGACAAAAGCCCTGGACTGGGTAATTCACAGGATAATTTTACAAAACATTTAAGAAGGACTTAACTCTTATCCTTCTCTAGAACCCAACTTGAATAAACTTGAAATAAGCTTAGGCACATTACAGTCAAATTGTTGAATATAAAAGATACAAAAAAATGAATAGCCAGAGAAAAAAACTGACACATTATACAGAGAGGAACCAAAAAAGCAAAACACTACGCATTTCTTCAGAAACCATGAAAGACAGAAGAAAGTTGAACAACAGCTTTAAACAGCTTGAAAACAACATAGTGAATCAACCCAGAAACCTATACTCAGTAAAAAATGTCCTTCAAAAATGGAAGCACAAAAGGGAATTTTTAGATAAAGAAGAGATACATAAATTAATTTTCACTAGAAGAAACGCTACATCATTTTGTATCTTCAGGAACAAATAAAAAGCACTGAAAATAATATGAAAAAAATACAAAAATTTTCTCTTAATTAAAAATACTTCAGGCTACTTAAAGCAAAAATTATAATAATGTATTTAGGTATACTACATTAAACTATTGCATAAAGGATAGTGAGTAAAGGTAAACAAATCTATATTGTTGTGAGATTTCCACATTTTATGTAGAGTGTAACTACTCTAACAGACTGTGAAGTGTTAAGAAAATACATTGTAATTCCTCGCAACTAATGAAAACATATATGAAGATAAAGTGCTTATATGTAAATTGAAATGAAATTCTAATAAAAAATGTTAAAATAATCCAAAGGAAGGCAAAGGGGGGAGAAAAGAGTAACAAAAAGTGATAGGACCAGCTGAAAACAAAAATAAGTTGGTATATCTAATCCCAAATAATCACTAAATTTAATATTAATGAACTAAATACTCCAACTAAATGATATAAGACCGGTTAAAAAAGCAAGACCCAACTATATGCTCTCTACAGTACATAAAATGAATGCCTAATAATAAAGCCTTAAAATATATAAAACAAACAAGGGCAGAATTAAAGTAAAAAGCAAACAATTCTATTATCTTCTTAGGAAATTTTAATACCACCCTCTCAGGAATTGGTAGCACTAATCAAATAAATATAAGTAAAATAACAGATAATCTGATTAATGCTATCAATCACTTTGATCTATTTAAGTTTTAAAGTTTATATAGCAGAAATTAACATAATTACCAGGAAAAATCCATGATGCTAGAGATTTTAACTCACCCCTCTCAGAATTGAAAAATCAAACAACAAAAATTTAAGTAAAGATTTAGACAGTACAAAGTAATAATGGCAATTTTGAGTTTGACCTCCTAGTAACAGAAAATGCACATTCTTCTTAAGCACACTTGGAACTTTATAGTAGTTAATTGTGTATGTCTAATTATAAAGCATATCTCAGTAAATTTTGTAGGACTAGTATCATGCCATACTCTCTGACTACATTTTTAATATCTGTATTAAAATATTTTTAGAAGTGAGCAATCACATGTCTAACACATAGGGAAAAAAGGGGAACTATAATAGGGATAAGAAAATGCCCCAAACTGGGCCCTGGCTGGGGTAGCTCAGTGGACTGAGCACGGGCCTGCGAACCAGAGTATCGCGGTTCGATTCCCAGTCATGGCACATGCCTGGGTTGCAGGCCAGTTCCCAGCGGGGGACTCAAGAGAGGCAACCACACATTGATGTTTCTCTCCCACTCTTTCTCCTTCCCTTCCCCTCTCTCTAAAAAAAATAAATAAATAAAATATTTTTAAAAAAAAAGAAAATGCCTCAAACTGGATACCAACAAAATCACATATTATTAATGAAATCACATATAAAAATTTATAGTCTGCAGCTGAAGTGGTACTTAGAGAACTTTTTTTTTATTTTAGAAAATAAAAATAGCTGAAACAAAAGAAAACAAAATTATTCCAAAGAATATAGGTAGATACAGGAATGAATGCCTCTATTGTCAAAATCATGGATACTGGCTTAACTGTGTCATGGCGAAGCAGCAGGAATTTAATTTAATTGATATGTTATGAGAGACACAGATGCTAATGTTTTCAACAACCTGTGAACAGAACTTCATCTCACAGAATTGTAGAAAATCACCCAAACTAATAAAATATAAAAATGGTAAGACATATGAAATTATCAATTATCCAATCAAGACAAAAAAATCTTACATAGAAGTTGACTGTTGAGAAGAACAGAATAGAAAATTTATTAATAAATGATATTACACATTTGCAAATAACAGTTATAAGGATTGAAGGGAAGGGGCTTGGAGGGGTAGAAAACCCACCATAGAAACAAATTAAACCTGAGTAGATGTATAGCAAACACCTATCCAGTTTCCATAACAGCATTCTTTAAATAAAATATCTCAAGTATCTAAATATAAAATAATCTCTAAGTAGAGCAGTTTATGTTAATTGTATTAATCATTTGCAAGTGGAACATGCAACTGTGGTACACAAAATGGCAAATACAATATTAAATAATTCAATCTTGTGATTTATAATACACTCATTATAAAAACATACTATTTTCTAAATGTTACATTATAATAAATGCTCAGAAACTATATAAATAGAATGTAGGTTTTGACTTCTCTATTTGAAGAAATAATCAATAGTTTGAGATAAACATGGAATTTAGATCATCACCAATATTCTTGGAAATGATATGGACATCTGAATAAAAGATATTCATGTACTTGAACTTTTTATTCTGCCCAGTTAAGTAGACAGGTCCAACATAAATGCTAAATACATCTGTCTATAAAATGAGGAAGATAAGATAAATACAACTTATAATAGTAGCGCTGCAGTCCTCATAATTTAGTGGAACCAAATGGCAGAAATGGAAATACATGGGAGAACCAGAAAACAATAGACTATAAAGCAGTATAAGATTAGATCTGAAAGTCAGATCTGGGTAAAGCCGTTTTCTCACTAGTGCCTTAATGCTTAAAACTGGCCAAATATCCTTTGTTATCTCCTCTGTTTCAGATACACCAACTATCTGTTACCTAATTTTTGGTTCAGAAGGTCTACATAAATATCACTTAGAAAGTAGGAAAGTTGATAAACAGGAAGTTTGGGGCATTGAGGGGGATCTGAAGGAGGTATAAAAAAGGTATTTAGAACCAGAAACTATGTACTATCTCCTCTTTCTACCAAACACATTGAAACCACCTTGTATACTTTAAACCAAGGCATCGTAACTCTACAGCTTATTTCTTTTGAAAGATTACATCTTACCATGTGGAACTGTGGTCTGGAAAGGACGACTTGGGTTTTTCAGGTTCCATAAAGTCAAGCTTCCATCTGAATGGCTGCACATGAACTGTTTGCCCTCATGATGCCAATCAATTGAATGAATAGCCTAATGAAATAACAATTAAAAACAAGTGGGGGGAGAGTTAATATGTTACATCATTCTATGTTCCAAAATAAAATATTGTGGCATAAACATATGTAATTTTTCTGACCCATATCATACTATCTTTAGTTCATCCTTCTATGGGCTTATAAAAGGCTACAATACTCAATTCCTGAAATAAAGAAAAATTAAGTAGCCCTGGCTGGTGTAGCTCAGCAGATTGAGCATGGGCCTGCGAACCAAAAGATCGAGGTTCAATTCCCAGTCAGGGCACATGCCTGGGTTGTAGGCCAATTCCCAGTAGGGGATGCATGAGAGGCAGCCATACATTGATGTTTCTCTTCCTCCCTACTTCCCTTCCCCTCTAAAGATAAATAAATAAAATCTAAAAAAAGAAAAATTAAGTAAAATTTTGACATCATTAGATCCTGGAACTTTTTATTGTAAATTCGCTGTCCTCCCTATATCATATAACCCTTCTTTGAAACATTATTTACATGGAAGTAAAAGCAAGGTTATCAGAAGATAGTTTCTGATAAAGTAATGGCCTAGTTCCACTTAAAGTAGCTAATAAAAAATAATTTACATATGAGCCATCATCAGAGGGCTTACAATATGCCAGACAAGAACTTTACATACATTATTTCATTAATTCTATAAAACAGTTATTATTTTTTCCAATTTACACATGGCAAAATTGGCATAGAGAGATTGAGATACTCTATTAGGCCATACAACTCAAAGCCAACTTCTACCTAAGTACAAAAAGTATATTCTCCATCACTGTGTTATATTGCCTCTAATATAAAGCAATGAGTTTTTGTTTTTTTGTTTGTGTGTACAGGTTCACTCTGCAGTTGTGAATTAGATAAAATTTACTCCTAGTGGTATCATAGTGTCTTGCATCAACTAAGTGCTCTGGTACAGGGGTCCTCAACTGCCCAACCCACCTTGGGCCTCACAGTAGGAGGTGAGCCTCAGACAAGGGAGAGGAGCTTTGCTTTTATTGCTGCCTGAGCTCCGCCTTCAGTCTCTCCCCCACCACTCTGTCTATGGAAAAACTGTCTTCTACAAAACTGGTGCCTGGTGCCAAAATGGTTGGGGACCACTGCTGTAGTGGACATAAAAGCTAAACAGATATGTACAACATGATCCTTTCCTTAAAGAAATTCAGAAAACAGTGAGATAGGAAAGACTGGTATAAATGAACTTCCAAACAATAAGTATTGGTTAAAGTTAAAGATAATTGACAGCTAGGGTAATCATTACACATACCAAAGAAAATAGGACATAAGCTATATATAAAAAGATACATAAGATTTGATTAAGAGGAAAAGTTAACATGAAACCCTGGACTTATGTTTTTCCTTCACCCTGGTCTTTATTACTAGGTAGAGGACACCTCTTTTGCCAAGGGTCAGAGGAGGCAGTTAGAGGGAAACAAAAACACAACTCCACTCTTTTCTTTTCTCTCTTTTTAAAACTATTGTTCAAGTACAGTTGTCTGCATTTTACCCCCACCATTCACCCTCACCCCAGCCATCCCCACCTTCCAACCCTTTGGCTTTGTACATATGTCCTTTATACATGTTCCTTCATGACAGACACTTCACCCTTTTCTCCCTGTAATTGCCTCCTGGTTACCGTCAGTTCTTAATTTCAATGTCTCTGGTTATATTTCGCTTGCTTGACTGTCTTGTTGATTAGGTTCCACATACAGGTGAGATTGTATGGTACTTGTCTTTTACCAATTGGCTTATTTCACTTAGCATAATGCTCTCCAGATCCATCCTTACTGTCATGAAGGGTAGGAGTTCCTTCTTTCTTTTGTTTATGCCTTCTTTCTCCTGCTTAGTACTCCATTGTGTAAATGTGCCTTTTCTATTATTTTATTGTTGTTCAATTACAGTTTTCTGCATTTACCACCTCTACCACTCCCCCACCCACCCCAGCCATCCCCACCTCCCTTCTTTGCTTCCACACCTCCTTAGATTTGTCCATGTATCCCTTATAGTTGTTCCCCCACTTCCCTCCATTATCCCTTTCCACCTTCCCTCTGGTTGCTGTCAGATTGTTCCTAATTTCAATATCTCTGGTTATATTTTGCTTGCTTGTTTGTTTTGTTGATTAGGTTCCACTTATAGGTGAGATCATACAGTATTCACCCTCACTGCCTGGCTTATTTTACTTACCATAATGCTCTCCAGATCCATCCATGGTATCACAAAGGGTAAGAGCTCCTTTCTTTCTGCTGCATAGTACTCCATTGTGTAAATGTACCATAGTTTTTTATCCATTCATTTACTGATGAGCACTTAGGTTGCTTCAAGCATTTGGCTATTGTAAATAATGCAGCTATGAACACTGGGGTGCACAGGTTCTTTTGAATTGGTGATTCAGGATTCTTACAGTATAATTCCAGCAGTGAAATTGCTGGGTCAAAAGGCAGTTCCATTTTTAGTTTTCTGAGGAAATTCCATGCTCTTTTCCACAGTATCTGCACCAGTTTCCACTCCCATCACAGTGCACTAAGATTCTCTTTTCTCCCCATCCTCACCAGCACTTAATTGTTTGTCGATTTGTTTATGATGGTCATTCTGACTGGTGTGAAGTGGTATCTACTGTAGTTTTAATTTGCATCTCTCTGATGGCTAGTGATGCCGAGCATCCTTTTATATGTCTCTGGGCCCTCTGTATGTCCTCCTTGAAGAATTATCTGTGCAGGTCCTTTGCCCATTTTTTAATTGGGTTGTTTGTTTTCCTGGAGTGGAGTTGTGTGAGTTCTTTATATATTTTGGAGAACAAACCCTTGTCTGAGGTATCATTCGCAAATATGGTTTCCCATATTGTTGGTTCCCCTTTCATTTTGCTGATGTTTTCTTTAGCCGTGCAGAAGATTTTATTTTCATGAAGTCCCACTGGTTTATTCTTTCCTTTATGTCCCTAGCTCTAGGGCACATATGGTGAAAATATTGCTGTGTAGAATATCTAACATTTCCTCCATATGTTCCCCTTGAGGGTTTTTATGGTGTCACAACTTATATTTAAGTCTTTTATCCATCTTGAGTTTATTTTTGTGTATAGTGTAAGTTAGTGATCAGGTTTCTTTTTTTTAATTATTATTATATTTTTGCATGTAGCTGTCCAGATCTCCCAACACCATTTGTTGAAGAGGTTATTTTTACTCCACTTTATGCTTCAGTCCCCTTTGTCAAATATTAATTGACCACAGAGACTTGGGTTTATTTCTGGGCTTTCTATTCTGTTCCATTGATCTATGTGTCTATTCTTATGCCAGTACCGGACTGTTTTGATTACTGTGGTCTTATAACATAGTTTGACATCAGGTATTGTGATCCCTTCTACTTTGCTCTTCTTTCTCAAAATTGATGTGGCTATTTGGGGTCAGTTATAGTTTCATGTAAATTTTTGAAGTGTTTGTTCTATATCTGTGAAATATGCCATTGGTATTTTAATAGGGATTGTGTTGAACCTATAAATTACTTTGGGTAGTATGGACATTTTGATAATGTTAATTCTTCCAATCCATAAAAACAGTACATGCTTCTATTTACTGGTGTCTTCCTTAATTTCTTTCTTCAGTGTTGTATAGTTTCTGAATACAGGTCTTTTACCTCCTTGGTTAGGTTTATTCCCATGTACTTTGTTTTTCTTGTTGCTATAGCGAATGGTATGTTTTCCTGATTTCTGTTTCTGATATTGTTGCTGTACAAAAATGCCTTTGATTTCTGAATACTGACTTTGTATCCTGCTAGTTTTGCCAAATTCACATATTAGGTCGAGTAGTTTTTTGCTGGTATCTATAGAGTTTTCTATGTATGCTATCATGCCATCTGCAAATAGTGACAGTTTTACTTCTTACTTTGCAATCTGGATGCCCTTTATTTCTTTTTCTTGTCTAATTGCTGTTGCTAGGACTTCCGATACCACATTGAATGGAAGTGGCGAAAACAGATGCCCTTGTTTTGTTCCTCGCCTTAGTGGGAAAACTTTTAGTTTTTGCCAGTTGAGTATGATGTTGGCTGTAAGTTTCTTGCACATGGCCTTTATTATGTTGAGGAATGCTCCCTCTATTCCCACTTTGCTGAGTGTTTTTATTGTAAATGGGTGCTGTACCTTATGAATTCTTTTTTCTGCATCCTTTGATGTGATCATGTGATTTTGTCTTTCCTTTTGTTTATGTGATATGTTATATTTATTGATTTGCAAATATTATACCATCCTTGTATCCCTGTATCCCTGGGGTGAACCCCACTTGATCATGGTGTATGTTCTTTTCAATGTATTGCTGGATGTGGTTTGGCAATATTTTGTTGAGGATTTTATTGTCTATATTTACCATCGATATTGGCCTGTAATTTTGTTTCCTTGTTGTATCTTTATCTGGTTTGGGGATTAGTATGATGCTGGCTTCAAAAGAAGAGTTTGAGAGTCTTCCATGTTCTTGAATTTTTTGGAACAGTCTGAGGAAGATAGGGGGAAAACCCCACTCTTATTTTTCTTCTCCTTTGTTTATTTCTTTTTACTTTTTCATATGGCTAAAGGAAAATGTCAATTCTTCTTGATACACATGTTCACATATAACACCTATACATGTTAACTTGGATGAACCTCAATTAATTTAAGGTCCTCTCATACTGCTTTTCTGCATATGGTTGGGGCAGAGGAATTGTCCCCAGTCCCAGCTCTTCTTCCTATCCAGTGAATTTCTACTCACTGGAGAAGAGAGATAACAAAGTAATAGCTATAACACAAAACCAAAACAAGTACTATAAAAGGAGTAATATACTTATTCTATGGGAGAGTATGCATATGAAACCAACTTGTTATTAGAGAAGAGAATTTCAAATAGTGCATTATTAAAGACCTGCCATTTGAACTGACTTAATGAATAAATATTCAATTTCTACTTATTTGTTTACACTCTATTCTTTTCTTAAAAACAATTTTACAGGTCTACTGAAAAGCATAATATAATACAGGTAATTCGAAAAGAATTTTAAAAGATAGAAAACAAAATATGGAAGTTAAACCCTAGGTAATATCAGCTCAGTGGCCATGATTGAATTTCTTGAACAAAAAGAAGAAACTCAAAGAGCTGGGTAACAATATAAAAAAGGAGAAAAGGCAGTTACTCAAGGAATTAAAAGGTTAGCTTAATGTCAAACTTGGAGGGGTCTCTCTGTGAGAGATAATTCTAAAAATATTAATGTAATAAAATTTAATTTTTACAGCTAATGGGGATGTAAAATTTGCACAGTTATTTCTGAAAATAAATTTGGATTGACAAAAAATACCCTTCAATTCATTAATGGCTATTAATCAAGATACTAGTTAGCTAGTCCAAGAATTTTTTAAATGGCTAAGGAATTAATAAAATTTTGATATGCAGAAGAGAAAAGGGGAATTCAGAATAAGAAATTAGTAGGGGAAAATATTTTAAGATGCTAAAAAATGATATATGTAGGAGACAGTAATGTATCTGAAATGTGAAGAGCATTAGAAGGATGCAGTAAATTAAACTAAAGGGAAAAATGGCACTTGGGCCTTAAACCTTATATCGAGAAATAAAGATTGTATTGTTGACAAATTGGGAGCCCTTTGAAAGTTTAGAGGTAAAGAATTACAGATCTGACTGTCTTAAAATGTTAATCTTGTTAGTAAAATACTTATTTTAAAAGGTAAAATACCAAAGAATATTATATATATAAATCACTATCTAAAATGATTTCTACATATAATGTAGGTACAGGGAAGTATTCCATTGACAGTTAACCATGGTTAACACTTATTTTAAACATTTCTGTTTAAGGCCATAGGAAAACTATTTAACTCAGCATCTTTCTCTGAATTTCCTTTTCAGCTGCTGTACTCTACTTTCAAATGGCTAAATTCCCAGGTAGTATCTGGACTCTCATCTACCTGCTATGCTAGTCTTAAGAGAGAAAGAGCAGTGTCCAACCACATCTTTATATTTTGTGTATTTAACAAAAGGTAACATCTTTTCTTATGACTTAAGCTGCCTCTAAAGTTGATCATAAAGAGTGTATTTGTATTTCACTTGCCAGAGTATTTTTCACCAATCATAAGCATATTACCTATACACCTTCAGCTACCTTTAAGCATTAAAACTTAAAAATTAAACCGTTCAGTGGAGATGGGAGGGAGTAACAAAGAAAGTATTGTAAAATTGTGTTTTTATGTTTATTTTTCTATTTCTCCCAGTGTTACTTTACATTCTTCCATACTCTTCTAATATAAGCATGGGTGATACCAGTCAGTGATTTTTGACCTGTATATTCCTCATATCTTTCCCCACTTTATCATTTTAATCTATCTATTTATTGGTTTATTACTAACCTAAAGACACACTTATTGATTTTAGAGAGAGGGGAAATGAGGGACAGAGAGAGAGGGAGAGAAATAGCAATGTGAGAGAGACGCATCAATTGATTGCCTCTCTGATATGCCTCAACTAGAGAAAAACTTGCAATCCAGGCATGTGCCCTCACAGGGAATTGTATATGCAACCTTTGGGTCTATGGGATGATGCTCCAACCAACTAAGCCACACCAGACAGAGCTCCATTCTACCATTTTTTTTAATTTAATTGATCACCTTTATTTTCACAGCTACAAGAGGCAGTTCCCCTTTCTCACCTTTTGTCCCCAGCCTCACTGTTTTCATCTTAGCCTTTCCTAGTGGGGGGGGGGGGTCATATCAATCTTTGAATACCTGAAGTATCAACTCAGAGACTATTCCTTTGTAAGTAGGAGTTCATTGCTTTCTCTAAATGAAACCCTTATCAATCTCAACTATGTAAAATAAAACTTCAAGATCTTACTGACTCTTATTATTAAGTATTACTATTTACAAAATTTCTCTTTATTCTAGGGCAGCAAGTATTAGAAGATAAGACTGTTCTACTTGACCATTTAAACTTTATGTCATAAAAAAAGAATTTTCTAAGGAAAGTGTGAATAGTGTCTTTAGAGATACTAAGGACAATGAGTCAAGACAAAAGCACAGAGTCTAAAGAAAGGAAAAGAAATTCACTACCCTTTGCAACAACATGGATGGAACTGGAAAGCATTATGCTGAGTGAAATAGGTCAGGCATTGAAAGACAAATACCATATGATCTCACCTTTGACAGGAAGCTAAAGAATAAAACAAACAAGCAAACAGAATAAAAACAAAGACACTGAAATAGAGAACAAGTGGGCAGCGACCAGAGGGGAGAGGGAAGGGAATTTAAGGGGAAAAAGGGGAGGGATTTTGAGGAACAAGTATGAAAGACACAGGGATGAGGACTGGGGGAGGGGAAATTGGAGGGAGGGGGGAGACAGGGCGGGGGGGGATGGGAGAAATAGATAAAAAAATGTACTTGAAAAGTAACTAAATAAAATTTATTATAAAAAAATTTTAAAAAAAAGATATTCAGATGAAGGTGGTTATATAATATAGGTAACAGGCACCAAAGTGTGTAAGATGTCATAAAGGGCCCCAAAATGAGCAGTCAAGGCAGAATTCTCCCTCAGGAAAACAACCCAGAGTTGGAACTAGTGCAAGAATTAACACGCATTGTGAGTCATGGAGTTAGAACCAGGCATGTTCAAATGATAAGAATATTGGTAACATCCAAAAATTAAAAGTAAAAAACAGACAGGAAGTCACAACACTGTTTCAAATATTTCAGCAGAAATCACTTACCTCATCATAATAAAGTCTCAGTTCAGCTCTTTTAGATTTCAAGTCCCAGAACACCACAGTACCATTTTCATAACCTATTAGCAGCTAGAAAACATTAGAACAATCATTTTGTAACTGTAACATTAATTTTAACTTGTTTCAAATAAAGTTTAATGTTAATACAATAAAGTAAAATCATACACATAATACAACTTTATTTAGAATATCGGTCTTGACTTCCGCCAAGATGGTGGTATAGGTGGATGTGCCGTGCCTTCTCACACAACCAAGTTTAGGGACAACTAAATATTTGCATCAGAAAACACAACCAGAACACGGAAAACTGAACTTTTCGGAAGTCCGCTAACAACAAATTCTTCAGCCCGACCGGTAAGGGGCGAACCGGCGTCTGGTGAGGAGTTGCAAAGGAGGGCTCGGTCGGACCCGGGCGCGGAATCCAGACGCGCGAATCCAGACGCACGGGTTCCAAACGCAGGATTGGACCTAGTGAGCGACCGAGCAACCCACCGGGTGAGCGACTGCAGAGGAGACAGTGGGGAGGCGGTGCAGCGTGTTGACTGTGGTTGCCTAATTGCGCGCGAGCGAGGGAGTGGGCGGTTGGACCGGCCGCTGCAGCGATACAGGGCGCGCCATTTCCCCGCTCTGACCATGCCCCCACATACAGCATCACAACCCAGCAACCTGGGAATCGTAGGCGCCGCTTCTCACATTTAAAGGGCCAGAACAGACCAAAAATGTCGCAGGAAGACCTCAAAGCCCCAGAGATAAATCTAAGCGACGAAGAAATAGCAAAACTCTCAGACGCACAGTTTAAAACACTGGTTATCAGCTTCCTCACAGATCTGGTTGATTATAGCCACAAATTAGAGAAACATATGAAGGCTAAATTAAGGGAAATGAATGGAATTCCACAGGAAACCCATAGAGATGAAAAGGAAACTGGGACTCAAATCAATGGAGTGGACCAGAAGAAACCAAATAATGGCCAAACAGAAAAGAGTCAAGGAGCAAGAATTCAAAGAAATGAGGAGAGTCTTAGGAACCTCCAGGACATCTTTAAACGCTCCAATATCCGAATTATAGGGGTACCAGAAGGGGGAAAGACACAACCACCAGTGGAAAAACTATTTGAACAAATAATAAAAGAAAATTTCCCCAATCTGGCAAAGGAAATAGACTTCCAAGAAATCCAAGAAGCTCAGAGAGTACCAAAAAAGTTGGACTCAAGAAGAAACACACCAAGGCATATCATAATTACATTAGCCAAAATTAAAATGAAGGAGAGAATCCTAGAAGCAGCAAGAGCTAAGGGGACAATCACCTACAAAGGAGTCCCCATCAGGCTGTCAGCAGATTTCTCAAAAGAGACCTTACAGGCAAGAAGGGGCTGGAAAGAAATATTCCAGGTCATGAAATCTAAAGACCTACAACCAAGATTGCTCTATCCAGCAAAACTTTCATTTAGAATGGAAGGACAGATAAGGTGCTTCTCAGATAAGACCAAATTCAAGGAGTTCATCATCACCAAGCCCTTATTATATGAAATGTTAAAGGGACTTATCTAAGAAAAAGAAGTTAAAGAAACATGAACAGTGAAAGAACAACAAGCTCACAGTTATTAACAACCACACCTAAAACGAAAGCAAACTAAAAGAACAGCTAGATCAGGAGTGGAAATATAGAAATGAAGATCTCAAGGAGGGTTAGCAACAGGGGAGTGGGAGGAGGAGATGGGGGGAGAAGGTACAGAAAATAAGTAGCATAGACAGTAGATAGAAAATAGATGGGGGGGGGCAAGAATAGCATGGGAAATATAGAACCTAAAGGACTTGAGACACATGGTCATAAACTAAAGGGGGGCAATGGTGGGGATGGGGGGGGCAGGGTGGAGGGGAATGAAGGGGGGAATAGAACAACTGTAACAGCATAATCAATTTTAAAAAAAATAAAATAAAATAAAAGAATATCGGTCTTTCCAGATCCTGAATATAGGCTACCTACATTTTTTAAAATTGGCAAATAAGCTACTTCCATATATACACTTACCAATTAAATCTGTCTCATTCCAAAGGGATATTGAGGAAATATGTAAAAATACATGACAACATTAAAATAAGAAAACTGAAACAAAAGAAAAAAGGGATAGATAATTGAAGATGAAATAAAGGATGAAATGAGGTAAGTTTAATATATTATATATAATGCCATTCAATCCTGTGCACTTCAAACATGTGGCCACAAATTTGAGAAAGCCTATTTATTCCTTGATTTATAGCAGCATTTTAAACTCAAATGTATGAACACTCAGAAGTTCACTAAGGTGTTCCACAGATTCACAACATTTAAAATGCTTAATATTTGCTTACAAATCAATAAGACTATTAAAAATGTATGTAATATATATTCTCCATATAATACGTTATAATATGTTCTTCATTTTATAATAAAAGAATCTGAGAAAGGATGATCCAAAGATCATATTCAAAACTCAAGGGAATGGGGTACAGGGGCTAAGTGGAGATGTACAAAATGAAGAGAATATTGTTTAATGGTACAGATGATAAAAATAAAGTAAAAAAGGGCTCAACCAGTGCTAGCCATGCTGATGATCTCTGCTATGATTCTGATTCTATATTTCATTGCTTTAAAAAATATATTGTTTAAAAAAACAGAAGGAATAAAAATAGATCAACGTTCGAATGATAATATTTCCCATGGATTTGTCTTAGGCTGACTTTCTAGAAACTTAATACTAGTACTTCCCTGATGAAAATTGTACAATGTGATGTTTCTATATTTAAAAAACAAAACAGTGGTAAAATAGAAAATACTGTCTTGATTATCAGCTACTCCTACATAGCATCCTGAGATTTAATCACTTACCTCAACATTTAATAACAGAATACAAGATATAACAAACCAGCTAGTAATTTTAACAGGAAATAAACAACATTTCAAATATCAGGTCAGGAAAACCATGCATATTTATTTTAAAAACTATAACAATACTTAAATGTTTTAAAAAATAATTGAGCTTCTTTACTAAACTAAAAAAAAGTAAATGGCATAATGACTAAATTAAAGAGACAAATTTATAGGTAAATTTAAAGAATATTCCTTAAAATAGTCCCATTTGATTATTTTTTCCTTTAATTCCCTTGCTTGAGGAGATATACGGGCAAAAATATTGCTACACAAGATATCTGAAATTTTACTGCCTATGATTTCCAGCAGTAAACATACTGGTATCATGATTTCTATTTAAGTCTTCTATCCATATTAAGTTTATGTTGGCATATGGTGTAAGTTGCAGTCTAGCTTCATTATTTTTTTTTTGCATGTACCAATCCAATTCTTCCAACACAATACATTGAGGCTATTTTTATTCCATTGCATGCTTGTGCCCTCTTTGTCAAATATTAATCGACCATAGAGACTTGGGTTTATTTCTGAACTCTATTCTACTCTGTTAATCTACATGTCTGTTCTTACACCAATATCAGGCTTTTTAAAAAATGTATTTTATTGATTATGCCATTATAGTTGTCCCATTCTCCCACTTAATTCCCCTCCACCCTGCACCCCCATCCCCACCATTACTCCCCTTTAGTTTATGTCCATGTGTCTCAAGTCCTTTAGGTTCTATATTTCCCATGCTATTCTTGCCCTCCCCGTCTACTTTCTATCTACCGTCTATGCTACCTATTTTCTGTACCTTCTCCCCCCATCTCCTCCTCCCACTCCCCCTGTTGCTAACCCTCTATGTGATCTATCATTTCTATGGTTCCTGCTCCTGATCTAGCTGTCCTTTTAGTTTGCTTTTGTTTTAGGTGTGGTTGTTAATAACTGTGAGCTTGTTGTCCTTTCACTGTTCATGTTTTTTATCTTCTTTTTCTTAGATAAGTCCCTTTAACATTTCATATAATAAGGGCTTGGTGATATGAACTCCTTGAACTTGGTCTTATCTGAGAAGCACTTTATCTTTCCTTCCATTCTAAATGAAAGTTTTGCTGGATAGAGCAATCTTGGTTGTAGGTCTTTGGATTTCATGACTTGGAATACTTCTTTGCAGCCCCTTCTTACCTGTAAGGTCTCTTTTGAGAAATCTGCTGACGGCCTTATGGGGACTACTTTGTAGGTGATTGTCTCCTTTTCTCTTGCTGCTTTTAGGAGTCTCTCCTTCATCTTTAATTTTGGGTAATGTAATTATGATATGCCTTGGTGTGTTTCTTCTTGAGTCCAACTTTTTTGGTACTCTCTGAGCTTCTTGGATTTCTTGGAAGTCTATTTCCTTTGCCAGATTGGGGAAGTTCTCCTTTATGATTTGTTCAGATAAGTTTTCTACTTGTTGCTCTTCCTCTTCCCCTTCTGGTACCCCTATAATTCAGATGTTGAAACATTTAAAGATGTCCTGGAGGTTCCTAAGCCTCTCCTCATTTTTTTGAATTCTTGTTTCTTCATTCTTTTCTGGTCGGATGTTTCTTTCTTCCTTCTGGTCCATTGCACTGATTTGAGTCCCAGTTTTCTTTCCATCACTATTGGTTCCCTGTGCATTTTCCTTCATTTCACTTAGTGTAGCCTTCATTTTTTTCATCTAATTTGTGACTAAAATCAACCAGTTCTGTGAGCATCCTGATCACGTGTTTTGAACTGTGCATCTGACAGGTTGATTATCTCTTTGTCACTTAGAAGTATTGGCTCTGGGGCTTCGAGTTGTTCTTCTGCTTGAGCCATAATGTTTTAGTCTGTTTGCACCTGTTAGGTATGGGGGCAAAAGCTTAGGTGTTCACCAGGGTGGGTCTACCCAGTTGCTAGATTGTGACTGGGGGTGGGGTCAGAGAGAGAGCAATGGCGTTTGTTCTGCTCTCTCTCAGATTTTGGTCCCCTCTGCCACTTCCCACAAGCAAATTGAGCCCTTCTGGTGCTGGTTCCCAGGTGGGTGGGCTTGTGTACATTCTAGGACCCTGTGGGTCTCTCCAACGAACTCTCCTGTGAGGCTGGGAGCCTCTCTTGGCACCTCAATCCCCCAAAGTTTTTTGAATTGGTGCTTTTAGACTTTACTTCCCGTTGCTGGGGCCCCGGGT